CAGCTCCTGCACCCCCGGACAGCCGGGCGGCCCTCTCGCCAGCGGGACCCAGCTCTGACCACGTCAGTCCCCACCAGCCCCGCTGCGCGGTCGGGGGGAGAGGGGAGGGAAGGCTGGGGGGTCCGTCGCAGCCCACAGGGCGGGAGCCCAGGGCAGCCGGCCGAGCCCCGGGGCTCCAGAGCCGAGGCCCAGGCCCGCGCCGCTCCCTGCACTTACCGGACACCTCGAGCCCGCAGCCGGAGCTCCGGTCGCCAGGCTGCGCCTGGAGGAAGGGAAGAAGGGACAGGGAGCCAAGACGTGGGGAGAAAGTTTTCCGAAGTGAAGAGTTTATCAGGGAAGGGCTGCGGGGAAGGGAAAGGCCAGAGTGAGGACGCGGGAGACCGCGGAGCCGGGCGGACGCCGCCACCCCCGCGGCGCGGGTCGGGACCGGGGCTCCCGGGTCCGCGCGCCCAGCGCCATCCCCGACCCCTCGCCATCCCCTGGCGGCGGCCCATGCCCAGCCTCCCGCACAACCGTGCCAAGCGGGGGTCGCAAGGCCCGAGGGCGGCGTTGGGCAGGGGGTGGGGGGCGCTCCTCCAGCCGGGACCGGCCTGGAGGGAACCACCGTCCCGGGGTCCGCGTGCGCCCCCGCGTGCGTCGCCGTGTGTGTGTGTGTGTGTGTGTGTGTGTGTGTGTGTGTGTGTGTGTGAGAGAGAGAGAGAGAGAGAGAGAGCGAGCCGGCGTGGGTCCCCCGGTGCAGGCGCAGGCCTGTTCCCTGGGGATGCGCACTGGCGTGGGCGGCTCCCGGCGCTGGAGGATCTTGCCCCGGGGTCGCGGAGGATCGCCAGGGGCCCGCGGGCCGCGGGGGGCCGCAAAGGAGCCCGCGGGCTGCAGGGAGCCGCGGGGCGGGCAGGGGCGGCCCGGACGGCCTCGGGACCCCGTGCGCTCCTGCTGAGCTCGCGGGCGCCGGCTCTGCCGGTCGCGGCGGGTCGGGACGGCGGGCGGCGGGCTGAGAGGCGGCCGGGGCTTGCCCGCCCCAGAGCCTCTCGAGGTCCCGGCCTCCTCCCGTGCGCTGCCGGCTCTGCCCTGCGTGCGTCCCGGCGGCCGACTGGCGCTCAAATAATGGGTTGGTGCCTGGATTGAGAGCGCCTGCAAGGGCACCCCGTGTGGGTGCTGGATGGGGTGTCTGTGCGTCTGGGTGTCTGTGTGTCAGTGTGTCACTGGGACTACGTGATGTGGTGGTCAGCTTCTCAGAGATGCAATGGGTCACTTTGAAACGGCCTGACCCACGGTGTCATTCTAGATGCTGGCCTCACTGGCTTGGTGTCTGTGTTTCTGTGCTCTGGAGAAGGGAAACCAACGCCTTGGAGTTTGCCTTTGAGAGGCTGTTTCAAGCAGAGAGGCCAGGAGACTCTAGAAGTGGGAGATGCCAGTCCTCTCGGGATTATTCCAAAGGGAGTCAAACCTCCACCACAAGGAATCAAGGCGATCATGGTCTCCAGATCCATGCAGCAGGGGGTTCTTCTGGTGCTCAGCCTGGCTGAGCCTTCTTTTGCCCCACAGGGGATACACTTGTACATGTGGGCATGCTCTTATAAAGTCTGTACGTGTGCACTTGTACACACAACTACCCAACTAATCGTACCCCCTTGCTCCCTCACACTCGGGTAGAGCTACTTCACAGCCAAATTCAGCCACCATCCTCCTCCCCATCACAGCCAAAGACTTCTGTGCCCAGCACATCTTTGGGTTAGTGAAATCAACTGGGCCTTGGAATTTAATTCAAGCCAGAACCTCTGACTTCTACTAAACAACACCAAAGCACTGTTAAATGTAAATCTCTGCTGCTAGTATTTGCATCCTTACTTTTGGGCCTTTTCCCTGGTCTGTCTCTACTAGACCCCAATCACCACCCCCAGGATTCCAGTGATCCTGGGCCAAAAGCTATTCCCTGCTAGTTTCAGCCTTCCCTTCTTTCTCTCGGTTCTTTCTAACTCTAGTTCCCGGCTGGGGGCTCTGCAGCTGGGTTTTTTACATCTCCCCATTCAGGTCCTGAAGTTCCTTGTTAGGAACTCTGGGCCAGAGAACCCCAGGGCTGGAAGACTGCTGGAAGACTTCCATTGCCAAAGGAGCAGAGAAGCCTTCTGGATCCGGGAGGGATGTGAGGGACGGTGGGAATCCCACTCCAACTCTCAGGAATGTCTGAGGCCAACTCTAAATTATAGGCAGGATATGGAGAAGGCTGAGAGGGGTTTGGAGTAACCTAGGCGGGACACCTTGACTCTTCTAAGAATCTGGAAAAGGAAAGGAAAGGTATTGGGCCCAGCTCCCAGTCTGCAGTCAGAGTCGCTGTATCAAAATGATGCCCCAAGCCCCTTCTTGCCCCCAGTCTGGAGGGTCACTGAAATCCCTGTCCAGCCATGCAGTGCTCTTCTGTGGGTCTGAGGGTTCCAGGTCTGAGTGGCCTGAGAGGCATGTGTGCCCAGGGCACACCACCCCCAAAAAACAGGTCCATGAGGAAGGGCTTCCTGTCTGAAGGGCCTTCTGCCCCAAGACCTGTGCTGGATTCCACTTGCTTCTGCAAGCCCTGGGTGATGGGGCATAGGCCTCCACTCAGGGCAGACAGGCATCCTTGCTCTGGGCAGCAAGACGAACTGGGCAAGAGAAAGTCGAGAGCCTTCCAGCCCAGGTGGAGTGGCCAGAGTGATAGGACCAGCTGTCTTTGTTGATGGCCCAAAAAGACCCTGCTTCCCTATCAGGGGGCTCCTGGCTGCTTGGGATCAGCCAACCTCTACCTCAGAGCCGGCAGGCTAGCAGGCTGGTCCTCATCCCCAAGTCTGAAAGCCCCAAAAAAGTGTGCCCCCCCTCCCTCAGCTCACAAACCAGCTCCTGAATGGGAGTCTCTACCTAGAGTGAGAATCAGAAACACATTTGAGGCTCATGTACGTACACACTCACAAGCAAGGGAGAGATTTGCCCAGACTTGGTCTGTTTCTCCATTGGCCAGGGAGGGTGAGAGTGTCCCCAAATTGATGCAACTCTTTAAAAAGCAAGAGAAGAAAGTCAAAGTCAGGCGAACGCAGAATCCTCTAAATAAACACCATTTCCATGGTTTTAATAAGCAAAATAGGAAACCATTTTAATAACCAAAAAACAGAAACCAGTCTGAATAAAACTACAATAGACTAGGTTTTAATATTTTCATATCATAAGCAGGGTTTGAAATTGATCCCTTATTTTACATGAAATAAAAACAAATTTCTGTTGCAGCAAATTTGATTTCAACACAGTTGAATCCGTAAAAACCGAAGCTCGTTTCTGATGCAGGACGAATATCCACAATATTTAAAACTGCAAGCACCATGCGGTTCATACAATCTTGTTATTACTGTTAATTTATCAACTAATACAAACTCAAAAAATGCATCCGGCCAGCAGCGCCAGCAATTTCAAATGGAAACTAAAAAATACGCTTTCATTTTGGTATTTTTGTCAGTGCAACTTAAATCCTTTTACTGACCTGCAGGAAAAAAAAAAAGTAATAAAGAAAAACACCCAGATTTTCCCTATAACTACTATACAACTGAAGGGGGGTAGGAGGGAAACACCACCAATAACTCACCTGCTATCTCAAAAAGCAGGGAAAGAAACACACATAACGTGTTGGTCTAAAGGACGCGCTTGAAAGTTGCAAAATTCCTTGCCAAATGTTTGGGTTTCCGGTACTTTCTGAGTGTGGCGGTTGGTTGAACACAAGTTTAGGTCACCACTGGGCAGTGTCAGGGCTGGCCAAGCCCGCTCGCCCGAAGAGCACTGCAGCCACAGCAATTAGCATGAGCCTGGAGGCTTCTGAAGGGATCCTGGGGGCGATTTGGATGGCATTAAAAAGGCAAATAAGATCTGTTTTCCTTTCGTGTCTTGTTAGGGGTGTCCATTTTAGCGAAAAGATGAGGTGGGAGTGAAGATATTCCTGGCTGGCTCTGGGGTGCGGGAAGTCCGCAGCTGCCCTGCCCTGGTACCCAGGAGCTGGGACCCCAGAGTCCTCTTTCTTTCAACACCAACAAAATGGAAAAACTCAAGTGGAAGGGACAGGGGGACCGAATGGAGGCAGGAAAGGGGAGAACACATGCAACTTCCAAGGGTGCCCCAAAGACAAAGTTGTTTTCTGATGCAAAATGCCCAGAACTTTTTTTTTTTACTTACAAAATATAATGCCATAATAATAATAAACCCAAACGAAGACACTCTGCTTGCTGCCATGTTCTCTAAGCGGTTTGGCGGGGCGGGTATTTACAAGCCGACAGCCGGGACTGAAACCCGGCAAAGCAGCCGCCGGAGTTTCTGAACTGCGATCCCTTCTCACTCAAAGAAACAAGGGGGTTATGATCCATGATCAACAACATGCTAAAGTTAAACAAGAAAATGGTACAAAATAGAAATTATTACCATACATGTCCAGCATGCAGGATTAATATTTTTAATGCAGATTTTCGTATTTTTTTTCTATATAATCGAGCAGGCAATAAAACTGATGAGAATTGCGCGCAGAACGTCCTAACTGAGGCCCGCGCGCGTCTCGGGGCTGAGAGCCAGTGTTCTCCGGACCCTGGACGGACAGGTCCGTCTGTCCTTCCTTCCTTCCTTCGCTCAGCCTCGCCTCGCGCCTGCCGGGACGCCAGGGTCCCTCTCCTCTCCTCTCCTCTCCTCGCTGCTCTCCTCCTGGTCAGGGCTGCGCTCCGGGGCCGCGCGAGGCAGCGGCCTCGGCTTAGCGCGCAAAGTTCGGAAAGCCAGGAGTCTCCCGACGGCCTTGGCGACTCCTCGGGACTATGCCTCGCCGCCCTCCAGCCTGGAGAAAAGTTGCTCCGGGACTTCCCACCCCCTCTTCTGGCTCTGGCCCTGCTCGAGTCTAGGAGGCGGCGCTGGCGCGCGCCGCTCTCGCCTTGGCCAAGGTCCCCTGCCTGCCCGCGCGCCCTCCCGTCGCCCGCGGCCCGCGCGCCCTTCCTCCCTCCCTCTCCCTCAAGTCAAACAGGTCAAGGCCGGGGCCGAGGCGGGGACAGGATCCGGGGGAGTCCGGGGCTGGGGACGCGGGACCGCGGGACGGGGAGTCCGGGCCGGGGCAAGGGCGGGGGGGGGGGCCGGGACCCGCCACGACTCACAGAAAGAACTCGGGAGAGGAGGGGCTGTCGCTGGTGGAGCCCGCCTCCCTGAAGCCGGAGTTGGCGAGTTTCTCGCACTTGACCTTGTAGGCGTCTCTTTCGCGGGCCAGCCGGGACACCTCCTGCTTAAGCTGCTCCACCTGCTGAATGAGCTGCGTCTTCTCGTTCTCCAGGTGGTGTTTCTGCTGGACGCGTTTATACCTGCACGACTGGGCGTAACCCCGGTTCTTCAGGGTCCGCCGCTTCTGCTTCAGGCGGATCACCTCGTCCTTGGTGAAGCCCCGCAGGTGGCGGTTCAGCTCGCGCACGGACATGGACACGAGCTGGTCGTCGGAGAAGCGGTCCTCCACGCTGCCGCCGCCGCCGGCCGCCGTCGCCGCGGCCGCCGCGTGCGGCCCGGGCCCCGGGTGGCTGGTGGGCAGCTGCTGCGCGGGGCTGGCGGCGCTGGACGGCGGCGGCGACGCTTGGTGGTGGTGGTGGTGGTGCGGGTGCGCGTGCGGGCCCAGCTCGTCGTGGGGCACGCCGGCGCCCGGGTAGGCGTGGTGCGGGTGCGGGTGCGGGTGGTGGTGGTGGTGGTGGTGGTGCGCGCCGCGGAAGCCGTCGAAGCTCTGCAGCGGCTGCGGCACCGGGTGCGACCCGATGAGCGCCTCCACCGCGTCCTCGGGCGTCAGGTTGAGCGCCTCGGGGTTCATCTGCTGGTAGTTGCTCGCCATCCAGTACAGGTCCTCCAGGTGAGTCTTCTGCTCGGTGGGGCTGAAGCTGGGCGACGAGGGCACCGAGCTGCAGGGCGTGCTGAGCGGGGTGGACGACACGGAGCCCGCGGGCTGCAGGCGCGTGCAGGGCCGGCCCGGCCGCTCCGCGCGCCCCAGCGGCTCCTTCTTCACGTCGAACTTGAGCAGGTCGAAGTCGTTGACGTACTCCATGGCCAGCGGGCTGGTGGGCAGCTCGGGCCCCATGCTCAGCTCCGCGGCCATCGCGGACGCGAGGCGCAGCCGCCGCTGCCGCCCGGGAAACTTTGCGGCCGGCCGGGGCGCGCCGAGCCGAGAGCGGGGGCGGAGAGCGGCGAGCCCGGGAGGCGGGAGGCGGGAGGCGGGAGGCGGGAGCCGAGGAGCCGAGGAGCCGAGGGCGCAGCGGGCCGGGGCCGCCGGCCAAGCCTTTGTCTGGGGACGCGGCGGCGCGCCGGAGAGTCCCGAGGCTGCCTGCGCCGCCCCGGAGCTCGGGCCGGGGCCGGGGCCGCGCCGGGGCCGGGCCGGGGCCGGGGCCGGGGCCGCGCCGGGAGGGGCGGAGAAGCGAGCGGGGCGCGCGGCGGGGCGGAGGGGAGGCGCCGGCCGGGCGCCCGCCGCTCGCTCTCTGGCTCCCCTGCTCCCTCGGGCTCCCTCGGTCGCAGCCGCTCGCAGCCCGGCGGTGCCGCTGTGCTCGATCCGGCGCCGCCGCCGCCTTTTATCGCCTTCCTGATGTCACCGGGGCGCGGGGGCCCGGGCGGCCCAGCGCGCCGGCCAATGGCTGCTCGGCCCCCGCGGCCCGCGGCGCAGGGCGGGGCGCGCCTGACAGCTCCTCCGCCCCCCGCGTCAGCTGACTGGCGGCCGGAGCCGCGGAGAGCCGCGGAGAGCCGCGGAGGCCTGGCGAGGGCTGGAGCCCGGTGGGACGGCGCGCCCCGGCCCAGCCCCCACCCCCTGCGGGGCCCGGCCCCCACCGGCTCGCCTGCGGGGCGCGCCCCCGCCCCCCCGCCCGCGGGCCTGGCCGCCCCTTCCACCCCTTCGCGCGCTCCCCTGGCCCTTCGCCCTTCGCTCCCCCACCCCCAGCCGGTGCCACCCCGAGGAGGCCCGGGAGGAGCGCCGGGACGACCCCCCCAGCCCTTTGTTCCCCGCGGCCCCCGCCCGGTGGGGCACGATCCGTGGGCCGCGCGGCTGCTGCGGGCTGCGGGCGGCGGGGGTGCGCGCCGTGCCCGCCTGCGTCTCTGCGGGGCTGCGCGTATTTGCGTCCTGGGGGTGGGTTTGCGCTCCGGGAGTTGTGCTCAGATCCAAGCCGTAGCCCCGGGGGACCCTCCTCGGGCCCAGCAGGGGCCGCTCCCCTCCCGGCGGGTGCGGCGGCCGAGCCGGGAAGGACTCCCGGGGCCCGGCCGCTCCCCGCGCCCGCCCCACCCACACAAGCAGAAAGGGGACGGGAGCGGGGGAGCAATCGGCCGAAGGGCGCTGAATTCCTTTCCCCCGCCGGACGCGCGGAGCCCCGAGCTCCCGAGGCCTGCCTGGGGCTGAGGCCAGTTCAGGACGGTGCTCCGGGCGGCTCTGGGCTGCTGGGGAACCGACCCTGTTTTTGTTTGAACGTTTTGTAACGATTTAGCAGATCGCGGCGTCAGCCCGCCGCGCGTCTCAAACAGACATAAAGTGCGACCCCAAGTGGCCACTGTGCGCAAAGGCGCGCGGCACGGCCCGGCCCGCCGCCCGCAGGCTGGGCCGACGCCTCGCGCCCAGCTGGGTCTTCCCAACGGGTCCGATCCAGGCCGGCCCAGAACTGAGGCTGTGTGAGCACCGCGGCCCAGGACTGGTTCCCCGAGAGCCGCGCGCAGGTCCCCGGGGCCCGTCCCGGGACCCCGCCGCGAGTTCGGCGCTGATCGCCGCGCGTGAAACTAGCGCGCGCCCCAGCTCGGGGCAAGGGGGCGGAGGGGATGCGGGAGGGGCAACGGGATGCCCTTGGGCACCCCCTGCGCGGGATGGTCAGGGGCCCGGTTACGCCAGTGGCTGAAAGCGGGACGGCCACAGCGGAGGGGTCCAGGGCGGTCCGGTGAGAAACCTCCCGGAGCGCAGACGGGGAGCCCACAGCGCACGAGGCATCCGGGCGGGGCTTGGGCGCTGCGTACCCCTCCTGACTCGGGCTCAGCATGGCCCGGGGGCGGGGGGGAAGTCTCTTCCCGAGACTCCCGGCCTGGGCGCAGGAACCGGATAAATCGCAAATTCGCTGTACCCGGAGACCCGACCCGCCTCCCGCGTCGCCTTCTGCTCTGCAGCTTTGGGCGCGTGCAGCGCGCCCTGGGTGAGTGTGTCCCGGCCGCTGCCCGTGCAGAGCCAGCACGACTGACACCGCGCGTAGGGGTCAGGTGGGCCACACCCGTGCGGAGACAGGCAGATTTATTATTATTATTATTATTATTATTATTATTATTATTATTAGTGTGAGAAGGTAAAATAATTTGCCTCCAGTTAATCTGAAAACTCTATTCTTTTGCGCCCTCGGTGCAGCTGGGGCGGGGTGTGGTCTCAAGCCGCCTGTTTTTAGTAAAGTGGATATATTTGAACTAAAACGTGAACTGAAAGGTTTGGATCAGCAAACCTGTAAGGCTGGAAGAGCCCGTCTTCAACCCTTTGCGAGGAGCGTGCTCTCGGCAGAAACGACTCGGCGGTCTCTCGGCAGAGCCTGGGCCCTGCAGCTGCCCCGCCTCTGCCCCAAGCCGGGCAGCGGGGACAAGCCCCCTCCCTGCCCGGTCGTGTTAGCACAGGGTGAGAGCACACCCGCACCGCGGCTCAGCAGGGGAACGTCTGGAGGCCGTCCGGGTCTGTGCAGACTGGGGCTCCGGGCTGAGGCGGTCAGGGCCGGACAACGCGCTAGGCGCTCTGGGTGCCGCTGACACCCAGCCGGCGCGCCCTCCTTCCGGGCGGGGAAGGAGCCCGGTGGCTCCGAGAGCACACCTGAGGCTGTGGACCCCTGTGTCTGCACCGAGGCTGCCTGTCGGGCCAGTGTTCCCCTCCCACTCCCAGCCCCGGGTCTGCTTGACCTTCGCTGTCCAGGACAGGAACCGAATCTCGCAGTGTGGCGTCTCTCAAGGCCCGAGGGGTTCCCTCCGCCCCGGCCCTGAGGTTCCAAACATCCCCCTCTCCTGGGGCGTCCTGCGGCCGTCTCAGGGCTTCTGGAACTCGGGCTTTGTCTGGGCAGGCGCGATCCTTTGTCCCTGTACCTCCGTCTCCGTTGCGGTCTGTCCCATCCCCTGGGCTCGGACTGCGCTATCTGCGTCTATCGCTAGGTCCACCTTCCCCCCAAACCTGGTTTCTTGCCAAGCTCCCAGCCCAGCCAGTGCCTCCTCTCCGACCCCACCCCACCCCCCAACCACCTCCAAAAAAAATGTTGGAACTGGGTGAGTAAACGAGGCACGCAGGTTGCTCCCGAACAGAGGCCGCTGCAGGGCAGCCCACCTCACTTCTCGGCCTAGCCTCCCCCACACCCGCCCCTGCAACTCTCCACCGCGGGGTCTCCGCGGGCCCCAAACCCTCTGGCCTCTCTCGCTCCCCCACAGCCACCACCGGCTACCGCCTCTCTGCGGCTGGGGCTCTGGGGATCAGTGTGCCGGGGTCCGGGTCAGTGGGGGCAGTTCCTGAAGGCTGCGCTCCTAGCCTAAAAGACTAGCTGGGAGGGGCGGGAGGGGTGGGGAAGAATAGGAAACGGATGATGGAAGAAGTGGAGAGTCCAGGAGAAGCAGAAGGAGGGACCGAGGCCCAAGGCACAGGAGTGGGGCGTGGAGCCCCCAAGGCTCTTTTGAACTGGAGCCGAGGACTGTTGTTGGCGGCCAGAGCCCTCTACCGAACAGTTTGGCGTCTCTTGCCCCCAAAACTCCCATCTGAAGTTTTCACCCATGCTCGACCTCCTTTCCCTACCCACACCAAGTTGGGCCAGAGGCGATGCGTCCTAGGCGCACCACCTTGGGATTCTTCAGCTCTATCTGATGAGCGAGAAGGCTCTGCGCTGCCCGCGCCACCGCGGAACCCCGGGGCCCTCGGGGGGGGGGGGTGCACCGAGAAGTTCTTCTCAAGGGAGCACTACCCTCCGCCAGCCGCCCGCTTGGAGGTTCGCTGCGCTGCTCCTGCGGGCTGCTGTTCGGCAACCCGCTAACCCGAGAGTGGCCCCGCCGCGCGCTCTCCGTGCGCCTCCAGCCCGGCGCGCCGATCCCCGCCGCCCGCAGCCCCGCAGCCGCGCTCAGCCTCTAGATGCACCGTACTCCCGTCGTTTCCTAAGGGTTGCAAGTGCTTGGCGCAGGAGCCAGCGTCTGTGTGCGTGCATGAGTGCGGTGGGAGGTGTGCAGGAGCAGTGTGTGTGTGTGTGTGTGTGTGTGTGTGTAAGCAGGGCACATGCACTGCTTGGAATCACAGAGCCGGAAGCTCCTGGCCTAAGTGCAGGGTGGGTTGCAGGATTGTACTCTCCCGGATCTCCAAAAAGGCCAGTGGTCCCAACCGCCCCAGAATGAGTTCGACCAGAGAGGAGCTAGCCTTCTGCTTCCGAGTCACCCAGAAGTCCATCACCTGTCTCCTCCAAAATGCCCAGAGGTCTCTGCCACCTTCTTCAAGGCTCAGCGGGAAGGATTCTGTTGCTCCCACTCCCTCTGAGCTTCCTAAGACCTAAGAAGAGGCAGGAGCCTTTTCTTCCTCCTCTTCCTTTTTCCCAAAGGCAGCTGTCACTTCCACTGTCCCCTGCCCCACACAATGCCCATCAGATTCCAACCCAGTGCTTCCAGAAAGGTATGCTTGGGCTTCTGGTTCCTGGTGGCCTTGAGCACCCAAAGGACTCCGTGGTCTCAGGAGGGAGCCAGAGTGACCCTACTTTGCAGAGCCCTTCCCCCCACTCCCTCTCCTGGGAACCAGAGACACCCCCAACCACCCCCACCCACAAAAACACGCTTAGGAGTGAGAATTTATTATTAAAACTGTTTCACTTGCTGCTTTTTATTTTGTTTTAACATAAATACTGGAAGTTTTTAAATTACATTATGTGGCTTACACTTTATTCCTATTGGACAGTGCTGTGTTAGACACCCTACTAGGCAATATTGCCTCCAATAGAGATGGGGTATTGGTTTGTGATATTCACTCCCGTTTGGATGGGGACTTGCAAAGCTTTTTTCCTTCAATTCTCACAACTCTATAAGGTAGCAACTATTATTATCCTTATTTTGCAGAGATGTGTAGGCAAGCAGGTAAGTACGGACACATAGCGGTTTTATCAACCTGTTTGGTCCTCACCGCTGCACTTTCAGGTGGGGAGGGTTATCTATACCTACACAGAGGAAGCTCTGAGAGGCAAAGTGAATTCTTTGGCTACACAGCAGCAATGAGCTGGGGCTTCTGGCCCCGAGTCCAGGATTCTGAATACTATGAAGCATGTGATCTCTGTCGGGACTAGGTGGCATCCTGGGGCCCAGGTGTCAGCATAGTTCCCCATCTGCTGTCTGGGTCAGGGTTTCCAACTCTTCACAGCCTCAATGGTTCCATTCAGGTCACAGCAGAGCCTCTGCTCCCTGCCAAGTCTCTGCAGACAGCTCAGTGAGAAGGGCAGGGTAGTCAAGCATCTTTGAGCCCCTTTTCTTTCTCTGTCCTCTTTCCTGACTCTGTGGCACTGGGTCAGGATGGGAGAGAAATCAAGGTGGGATGCAAGCCAAAGGAGAGAAATTAAAAAAAAAAAAAGGAGAGAAATTTTGCAGCGCCCTCTTACCTTGTCCTTTACCCTTGGCCTTGGCCTGACCTCTAAATTTGGCCTTGGTCCTTCATCCTGCCTCTCTCTGGTCTGAGTTTGACCTTCAGCCTTTTTGACCTTCAGCTCCTATTTGTTCATCTCTTATCAGGAGAGAAAAAGAAGGAGAGAGAGAGGAGAGAAGAGAGAGAGAGAGAGAGAGAGATGGCCCGATACTGATGAGAAGTTCACTACCACTCAGAGCCGGTGAGGGATGACCAGCAAGGCTCCCTTTCCCACTACCACCTGCCCATGACCTCAGAGCCAGCATTAGAGACTCTGAAACCTCATCATTTCCTCAAGGCCAAGGCCTTCACCTCCCACAGACTGACCATCACCTATCTGTCCATCTCTCCATCTCAAGATCTTGGGTCCTCCCTCTCTTGCTTTAGCTTTCACTTAGATGACTACAGAGAAACTTTCTTCTTGTCCACAGAGTCATGAAGCCAGCTTTCATGTTCTATAAATCTGACCATTCTACCTTCATCCATTCTACCTTCCCCCAGCTTACCTACAAATTCTTTCAGTACTTGGACAAAGAACTAAACTCCTTAGCATGGCTTTCATCCCCAGAATTACCAGCTCTGCCAGCATCTCTTACCTCATCTCTCACTGTATTCCCCTCAAAGTGCTCCAAGCACACTGCCTACTGTAAGTTTTCCCACAGCCCAAGTAATGTTCTTCCACAGGACCTTTGCACTGGCCATTCCCCCTGCCTAATATGAGTTAGTCTTCTTGCTCTGAAGGACTTAGAAGATGTAGTCTA